GCGGATAGCAGAGTGCCTTCAGTTCGACTTCGTAGAACCAGCTGGCCTCCCGGTCCATGGCCTCGAGCTTGCTGACGAGGGGCCCACTGGTACAAAACACCTCCTGTGCTCGGCAATCGAGTGGAGGATGAGTTTGTGTCAGAAAGTCAACAGGCGGGTGCTGATGATGGCACTGGTCGGGCCATGGCGGCGGCAGAACTTGCGTACCATGGCGAGTTTGTATTCGGTGGGTTCCCTCTTCTGCGTGAGGCGCATCACGTGAAGTCGATTATCTGTCTCGTCGCTGGTCAGGGCATAGACTAGTCGCCCCAAGACGGCGTGAATCTCCTACAAATATAAAAACGCGAGTGAGTCAGACAGTGGGGCCGACTCTGGTCAATTGCTGCTTCAAGGTTCATATCCTTGGATTTGGGTGGTGAGGGCCGTGTGCGCCAGTGAGAGAGTTGGCACCTACGCCATGGGAAGCGATGCTGAGTTGACTCTTGAGCTCAGCCAATCGGCTTCGCAGGTTGGCCAGGCCCAGAATACGATCCAGGTCGACCATGATGCTGGCCAAGCGCTGAGACTCAGTCTCGCCGTGGAAGTCGGTTCACCTAGAAAAAAAAAGGCGCCAACCCACCATGGCGCAAAGTGAGTACAGGACAGCGACGTGTCCCTTCCCGCTCCTCCCTCTTCCCCACCCCTCCCATGCATTTGGTGACCGGGAGCCGCTCCCATGATCAATCGAGTACGATGCCCGACCATAGCCGCCCAGCTCACCTCGTGTGCAGCGCCCACACACACACTAAAGCCAAATTCGAGAAAAAAAAAATCGGCGCTACCATCTGACAAAATTACCACTTTATAGTGTAATCCTTGTCACGGTATAAATCCTCATTGTCAGCACGGCTATTGTCAGATAAAATACACGATTATGGTCACTGCATTCGTAACTGATAAGTACCTCAGCGATTGAGGCTTTACAGTAATAGGTAACGAAGGGAAGGGATTACCGTAAGAGCTTCCACGTCCGGACGCGTTGCAGCAATCTATGGTCACACTTTATCACAGTTTGAGCATGCAACCATGGGGTCGCGCCCCATATATGGGGGGCGCGTGGGGCGCAAGTATGGTGTTTGGGGGGCTTGGGAGGGAGTTGGGTTGCAACCCCCTATGGACACGTTCCTCACATGGTCAATTCCCTTTGTGATTTGACCACGTTTGTTTGTGGGTGCAGGCATCCCTGCTGTGTTGGGATTGCAGACATCCGATCCGTGTGGCCTAGCACAAACCGCTTGGCACTTCCCCTTTGACCCATTACCCTTCAAAGCCGTCTACGAATCCGTACACACTGTGCCGCCCTTTGTGGTGGCGTGTTGCATAGCGTGTGTCCGTTGTCTTATGTTTGTTGTCAGAAGTAAGTAAGGGAGTAAGCTGATGGTGGTGGTGATCATGTGGGTGCTTCGATTGCGGTAAACATACACTAAAGTGTCAGCGTGTTTGTGTGTGTGTGTGTGTGCGTGTGTGCGTGTGTGCGTGTGTGTGTGTCGGGGCAGTGGTCACTACTGCGTGCAGAGCCTGCTGGTTCGTGGCGCCATCTCAAGGCAGACGCGCCACGCTTCCACCTTACCACCTTTACCCCCCCATGCGCCCCCCCCCCCGCTTGAACCGCATCAAAGCCGTACTGCACTCGTTGTGATCACACCCACACCTTCCGCCCCACTGGTTTGTTTACTGGCAGCAAAGCCCTCCACCTTGACCCAGTGAACACCCTCCTCGCCTTGGAGTCGAGTTCAGTGGCATTTTCTTCCTCTTTATCCACGACGACATCTGCCCCTGCCAAAGGCCGGCACACCAAGACAGCCCTCCACTGCTCCGAGCAACGAGACAGATTGAATTTGTCTTCCACTGCCCCTCGTTGTGCACTTGGCGTGATTTTAGAACACACCAATAAAGATGGCCACCGTTAGCGCCGCTTTGGCCAAGGCCAAGGTCCAGTGGGAGAGCATGGGCCCTCGCATCTGGTTCTTGGCCTCCAGCCCTTCCACCGTCGAGTTCGCCGACGTCCTCGACCCCGCGGCCGCCCTCGCCGTGCTTCGCAAGAAGAAGGATATCATCCTCCTTCCTGGTCACTCGGAGGCTCACGAGTTTGCTGATTTCTGCCGCGAGGTCTTGGGCCTGGACGATTCACAGGTTTGTTCACATCTCTCACCACAAAACGCGACTGTCATCTAAGTTGAGCGTGACGGCTTCTCACAATCGGCATCGCGTCGCCTGGTCTTGCCCTTGCGCGTAGATTCGTTTCACAGATGACACCAATACCTTTATGGTTGAAAGCAACCACGCGGGTGCCGCCACCACCATTCAGAACATCATGGACACGTACCCTTCGGATGGCGAAACGTTCATGCTTTACCCCCGCAAGCTGACCAACACCATGCGCAAGTGGCTTCCCCGCCTGCAAACCCAGGGCCTTCTGGTCTTTGGCGAGGGCACCCCTGGCCTCAAGCATACCTCGGCTGCCATTCTCCACCGCCATGCCCGTGCCCTCGACGAGCTCTCGGTATGTTGGACTTGACAGTTTCAGCTTTGTGCCCCACTCGTGTTTTTTTTTTCAAGGATTTTTTTTTTTTTTTTTTTTGTGGTCCCCCCCCCCCTTCTTCCTTCGACTTACCCTGCTCCTTTTGGCTGGCTGCCCTCTTTTTCCCACCTTAGCTGCTTGAGGAGATTGCTCCCCATATTCGCGTTCGTCGTGGCTTCATCTGCAGCTGCGTCGATGAGCTGCTCAAAGCCTACCAAGCGCTCAAGGCCATCCCTACGGATCGCCCCGAGACGGAGCAGATGGTCCGCATTCGCCCTCTTCGCGCCACTGCCGGCGGCCAGCTCATTCTCCACTCAGAGCAGGAGCTGCGCATGTACGACTTCCCCGTGGGTGACGTTGTTCTTGAGAACTTTGTCACCGACGACGCAGCCGATATGCGCCAGCACGTGATTGTCCACTTTGTGGCCAACCAGCAACTCGAGCCTCTGACCATTTCTCGCAGCTACCAGGGCGTCATGCTCTCCGTTCGCTCCTGCCAGACCACGGACGCCGTGCGCGAGACGATCAGCACCTGGGTTGATGAGCTTCTGGACAAGACTCGCATCAACGCCTCGGGCGTCGGCACCTTTGAGTTTGTCATCGATAACGATCAGCCCATCCTCATCAACGTCACCAGCGGCTTCACCACCGAGCACTTTGCGTCCCTCTTTTGCCACAACTACTGCCGCAAGATGCGCATGTTTGCCTGGACCTTTACCCCCCCGGAGAACCTCGACGTGTGGACCTTCTGGTACCGCCTCTACGATGCCAACCTCACCTTCCGCCCTGGCAAGAAGCGTTCGACTTCGGGCATCTTCCCCCTCAACTTCCAAAAGGGCCGCAAGAGCATCTTTGTGGCGGTTGCCGATTCGGACGATGCCGTTTTTCAGCTTCAGCAACAGGCCGATGCCCTGCTTCGTGACTCGCCCACCGAGGAGTCGCTGGAGCGCGTGAGCCTCGACGCCGACGTGCGTCGCATCTGGTGCGGCAGCGCCCGCCCCGAGTACCGTCGTCTGACACAGCGTTACAACCTGCCCAACCGCTGCATTCCGCTCGTGCGCAAGGACCGCGATTTTGTCATCCTGCCCGATCACAAGCTCACCCGTGAGTTCTGGAATCTCTGCAAGGAGGTTAAGCAGCTTGGTGACGATCAGGTCTTGTGGACCTCGGACGAGCACTTTGTCATGGACGATGATGTCGACGACGAGATGGTGGCCCGCATCAAGGCCATTGTCACTACCAACCCCAAGGACAAGTTCACCATTGTCCCCTACTGTGTGACGGCCAACTTTGAGCGCTGGTCGGCGCAGCTCAGCGAGATTGGCGTCACCGTCTTTGGTGAGGACTTTGAGTGGGTCGAGAAGTATGGTCACAAGGGCATCTTGCATCGTCACATGAACTCGCTCCAAACGCCCTGCATCATGGAGGAAGTGGCACCCAACATTCGCGTTGCCAAGGGCTACACTTGCGACACGGCCGACGAGCTCGTGGAGGCCTACAAGCTCATTGGTACGGAGACAGTGGTCATCAAGCCCGTCTTTGGCGCTGCCGGTGAGGGCATCATGTTTGTCAACGATGTTAACATCCTGGCCGGTTATGACTTCCCTATGGGGCAGGTTATTCTGGAGGAGTTTCTGGCCCTCGACCGCACCAACGACGGCATTGTCCTCTCGCCGGCCGTCCACTACCTCGGCAACACCCTCTTTGGCAACGGCCTCGTTGACCAGATTATGGTCGGTACCGGTTATGCCGGCTGGCGCCGCAGCGAGGCCTCCAAGTCGTTCCAGGAGACGTGCTCGCGTGCCATTAACAAGCTTCTCAAGCACATGCAGCCCCGTGGCCCCGGTGGCTTTGACTTCTTGTCCGTGGAGGGCGTGCCCTTCCTGACTGACGTCAACACGGGCCGCTTCAATGGAGCTCACATGCCCAAGCTCTTCAACGAGATGTTTGCGCCCGACTGCACCTTCTACTGCTTCAAGTTCAAGCCCCCGCCTACCCTTTCGGCATCCCAATTTTGGTTCCGCATGCAGAGCGCCGATATTGCCTTTGTGCCTGGCGAGAGCGAGAGCGGCGTCTTCCCTCTCATCTACCTTCGCGGTCTCTCTGGCCTCTACATCTGCCTCGCCAAGACTGACGAGGAGTGCAAGAACCTCTGTGAGTTGGCCAAGAGCTGCCTGGCTGACCGCGTGCCCATTTCCCGTCCCTCGTCCCCACCTCCAGAGCTGGTCACCACCATGCGCATGACCCTGATCAAGAACGCCCTTGCGCTCTACACGCCGGACCAGAGCCACTACACGGCCCTGCTCATCGCCGGCTCCCAAATTGTGGGCTTGCTTTCCGATGTGGAGGCCGAGAACATGACCCGCGTACTCAGCGCCACGGGCGGTACCATCATCGATGCCTCGGGCATGATTGTGGCCCCGGGCATGGTTGACCCACACGTGCACGTGACGGGTGGCGGTGGCGAGATGGGCCCCGCCAGCCGAACGCCCGCCCTGCAGCTGTCTCAGATTGTGCGTGCCGGTACCACCACTGTGGTTGGCGTCACGGGCACGGACAGCGTGTCGCGCTCCATGGAGAACCTGCTCACAAAGGTTCGCGCCATCAACCAGGAGGGTCTGACGGCCTATATGTGGACTGGTGCCTATGTCTTGCCTCCCCCAACCTTGACCGGTTCGGTGATGCGTGACGTCTGCCTCATTGAGCAGTGCATTGGCGTGGGCGAGGTTGCCATTGCTGATCACCGCGGCTCTCAGCCCACCGTCACCGACCTTGAGCGGCTCGCGTCCGAGTGCCGCGTCGCTGGCCTTCTGGCCAACAAGGCGGGTGTGGTGCACTGTCATATGGGCAGCAACGAGCAGCGTCTGTCCAGCCTCCGCGCTGCCATCAAGGGCTCAGCCTTGCCCATCACTGCCTTTTACCCCACCCACATGTCTCGCAACCGCGAGCTGGCCAATGAGGGTGCCCAATGGATCAAGGACGGTGGCTATGTTGACTTTACCGCCCGCTCAGCTGCCACGGTCAAGGCACTGACTCGCTACTTTGCCAGCGGCGTGAATCTGGACCGCGTCACCATCTCCAGCGACGCCGGTGGCTCGTGCCCCTCGTACGACGACAAGGGCGAGCTTTTGCGCTACAAGATGATTGAGAGTGACAGCATGCTGTGGCTGCTCAAGAAGCTTCACCTGGACATGCAATGGCCACTCCAGCGCGCACTCCCTCTCTTCTGCAAGAACGCGGCCGAGATTCTCAAGCTGCCTCAAAAGGGTCGCATTGGTGTCGGCCTTGACGCTGACATTATCCTCATGTCGGCCGAGACATTGGATCTGACTTATGTGTTTGCGCGCGGCAAGCTGATGCTGGGCCCCGACCACCTCGAGAAGGGCATGTTCGAGCAGGTGGACATTTAAGTTATCCGACAAGATGCCACCAGGGCTCATTGCTTGTTCCAACTCTTTTTGCCTCGTGCGCTTGTCCAGTTCCTCTCCCCCCCGTCTTGACTCGTGACCTTTAGGGATGGCTTCGTGTCTTACTCACATGCCAGCATGTAAATTTCTTTCTTTCTTTGGTGCTCAAATTTATGCATCAGATGAACTTTTAACTTGAAACCTTTCGATCAAAGTCTTGTGTGATCCTCCATGCTTGTCAACACAACACTCATCAGGTTGAGGACATGGATCTTGATAACTGGCTAACATGTAAATTAAAATCGGGGTGATGACTTAGGCATGTGAAGAAACTAAAAAAAAGAAAAAAGAAACTCTTGAGGCTAACATGGATGAAGATGCAGATTGCCGAGCTGGGATCACGCGCGATCAAGCCCGGGGCTTGTCGCAGCCGAGGTGTTGGCCGGTGAAGTCTTGGCCGGTGAAGTCTTGGCTGATGCGGCTTGCATTCGTTTCCGTCGCATAATTGCGGCTCGGCGCAAGCGGTCGCGCTGCAGCGCGAGCAAACAAGGCCCACCAACACACCAAGGCTATGTTAGAATGGTTGTTCGCAAAATTGGGTGAAGTACAAGTGCTTGGCCACGAACTTACATTGACGTTCTCACTGGAATCGGCATGAACGTTTTCCTCCAGCAAACGCATGATGATCGGGCGGCACTTGTCGGCGCCATACACGGCACAAGCTTCAAGCGGGAGTTGGTCGAGGTCGTCGCGCTCGAGGACCTGCAATCGTAGCACACTGCGACTGTCCTTGACCAGCTCCTCCAAAATCTATGGCGGCGGCGGCGATCAAATCAGCAACTTGTAGAATGTGTACCTGGTACACAATCACAAGCAATCTTGCCCTGTCCTCTGTCACAAACCTCGCCGCGATCTTCGCGGATCAGCAAATGTAGCGGGGCAACACCGTGCCCGGTGTTATCCAGCAGCAAGCTGGGCCGCACCGCAAGCAAAGTGCAAATCACATCGATGGAGCTCAACATGAGAGCCCACTACGAGCAGGGTCCACAAAGTGAGACATTGGTTTCTAGGCTGTGATGCAAGAGAGCTTTTTTTGGGCACGGTTGCATACGTGGAAAGCGGCATAGCCGTGAAAGCTTCGGTGTGATTGGAGAAGATCGTCGAACAACGGGTGCAGCGTCAAGCGGCGAACCACGGCGCCGCAGTTCTATTCCAGCCCGCCCATCAAACGAGAGCAGGGTGAACCGGGCGCATGTGAGGAAGCCTGACCGTTCGCTTTCATAAGTGTACAACGTACGTAAATGCATGACAGCATCAGGGCGTTGCGACCGAGGTCGTCGTCCGCCGTGACGTCGACCCCCGCGGCAATGAGGCAAAGTGCCATGTCCTCATCCCCTAGCCAATCGGTGCAGAGCCATGCGCATCGTGAGGTGCAAGACTGTGGGTGAGAGCGGATTGTTGGCTCTCGAGGCAATCCTGTACCTTCCGCCAGGGCTATGGCTAGAGTGTGATGGTCTGGGTTGTGCAAGGCGGCAATCAGCTGTGCGTCGCTGTGAGGCGAGGAGACGGCGGATATCGGGGGTGACGCGTAGGAGAAGGAATCTGCTTGTGCCAGCACCTGGCTCTGTCGTCCAGACAGACCACGTATATACACGCACATGCGTACAAACAAGCCGTGTCAGTATGCACTGGCCATGTGGTGTTTGAAGCATCAGCGATGCCAAGCCTTTCGGCGTACCTTGTCGTGTGCACCGCTCGCGTTGATGGCATCACCATCTGCTTTGTAGTCCTTAAGAAGCGGTGGCTAGGGGGGAAGGCACCGGGCCAAAGGGTGAAGAAAAAGTGGACTCAGCATGGGTGTCTGGTTGGACTCTGTACGCTGGCCAGTGGCAAGTTATCTCCCCTTCTGGCTCGGGACAGGCTTTTGATACTCACTGCGTCCTCAAACATAGATGCAGTCAAAAGCTTGCGCCGACGTTTGTATCGCAGGGCCAGCCATAACCCCAACATGAAGGAGATGGCGCCGACGACTACGGCAACCGCTATGATTTCTGTCGAGCTCAGTTTGGCTGCCAGAAGGTGGAGGTTTCGGGTACCGGGGCAAACAGGCGCACACACGTCAACGTTAGAAGTATGCTATTCACCCAACTCTTGAACGATTAATGGGCGACGATGACATCAAACATGACTGGCCACCACAGCCGTTGGCATGATTCAGCTGACAAGCGGAAAAAAAGGGGGAAATGGGAAGATGAGAAGCTCTGGACTCACCCAGGAACAGGCTCTTCGAGTGATGGGCTAAGAAAAGAGTTGGAGGCGATGACAGAGAAGTGAGGGTAAGTGCTTGACGAGGACAGGAAGGTACTTGACAAGCGATGCGTGAGGGGCAAGGAACAGAGGCAGAGTCGTGCAACAAAACTGTACCTGGAGTCGTGGGGATCATGGAGGTTGTGGAGGGTTGAGGACGGGTGGTGGGCGAGAGCTGGATGCAGTTGTTCTTCAGCACGGTGGTCCAGGTGGTGCTGGTATATACCCAGGCATTGTAGGACTGCACCAGGCTGAAATTGCATTCAAAGGCAATGAGAATGTCCTTGTTGAGAAAACCCACGAGCTGAGGGCGGTAGTTGTCGAGATCAATCTCTGTTTTGGCTTTGATGTCCAGCACGGCGTTTTTGTGGGGGATGACGAGAATGCGATGGTTGCCATCAGGCTCGTAGACAGCGACGAGAAGGGTGTCGTGGCTAATTGCCAGGCTGATGACGAGTTCGTTCTGGAGCTTGAGGGTGCTGAATTGCGATATGTAACCGTTGGCATTGACATTGGATGTGTTGAGGACCACGATGGCATTGTCATGGCGATGAAAGGCCAGATAGTGGTGACTCAGGGCAACGTTGCCGTCGATGGCGAGGATGGCTTGAACAGGCTGCACTGCGTTTGGAAAGGTGCGGATCCACAACTTGGCCAGGTTTGGCAGTTTGGGGTTGGTGGTGACCAGGGCATAGGCACCATGCGTGGCCACAAAGTGGCTCGAATCCAGCAGCGGGTCACCCGCCAGATCGACACCGCCACTGCAATTGCTTGAAGGCTGGAGGGCATCTGCGGTAAGCATGGTACGTACGCGGACCGAGCTTTGAGTAGGGAAGGTGAGGACGAGCTCCTGGTTGCTAATGCGGAGGGAGAGGGGCGGGGCATTACAGGTCCGGAGGCCCGGCAGGGGCTGTGGTGGGATGTCTTCATCAAAATACACCAGAGCCAGATCCATGGGGTTTGAGATGTTGCGCAGTAGGATTTGCATGTCCTCGCAGTGAACGACGGTCATGTTGGGAGGAAAGGTGACGAGGGCGGGGGGTTGATTGGGCTGGATAACGGCCCAGGACTCTGTGAACGGCTCGTTGAGCGAGGAATTGTAGTGGGCGGATGCGGGCCAGGTGGTGGCGTTGGGAAACCAGGTCGAGAGGTTGGTGTGGGCGGTGGGTTGTACCAGGGCCATGGTGTCATTGAGAAAGCACCAGGACGCGGCGGCCGAATGGATGCCCAAGGACGCAAGGACCATGGGCGAGGCGTGGGCGCTGACATCCTGCACGGCAAGGCTCAGCAAGAGCACCAGGAGACACGAGAGAAAGGAGGAGCAACGCATCGAGAACCGCATGCCAGGGCACGGTATTGAAACCATCCGTCCAGTCTGTGGTCGCGAGGCCGACAGGTCAGTCAGTCGTTGTCGCATGGCGTTGTTGGGTGCACGGGGCCCCCGTGCACGGTCTCGAGGTGTTGAGGGATGAAGAGAAAGACGACCTCGTTGACCACGAGTCAAGACCGAGGCCGGGGAGACACCGGGGAAGGACAGGGCAGGTGATGGCTCAGGTCATGACGAAGACCGTGACTGCCATTCAGATGTGTGCAGCAGTCAAGGCAAGATCCATCCCAAAGTACCCGGCGCACACGAGGGGGGCGCGCGCGGGGTGGTTGTGAGGCGACCAGACAAGGATAGGGACGAGGAGGGACAAGTAGCAAGGGGGTCAGAGGTGCAGAGGAGACGGGCGGTGGCAGAGAGGACGAGACGACTGGCGCCTGGCTGAGAACCCGTTTCCCTTTGACCACCTCGGAGCTGACATGTGAGTCAAGGATAGCTTGTGCGCATGAAACGAAACGTGTGACATCATCAGATGAGGAGAGAGAGAGAGAGAGATTCTGAGAGAGAGATTCTGAGAGAGAGAGATTCTGAGAGGGAGGGAGAGATTCATCCTGAGCAACAACATCCATCTTGTTTCGATGTCAGACAGTTGAAACATTCGAAGGAATTTGATAATATGAGCATCCTGTGCCAGCGCATGTACATGGCGCATGTGGTGCCGCATGGTCTTGGCAGCGTGCGCAGATGATGGGCAAGAATCGCGATGCGACTTTGTGGGAGGGGGTTGTCCTGGAAATCGTGTTCATGATGCTATTATTATACTCTTTTGCTGCTTTGACGTACATTGGGCACAGAAAGTGCCTTGACTCGGGATCCTTTCCTCATACCCTGTCCGGGATTTAAAAATCTCCACGAGGAGCATACCAGAAACATGCGTGTCGTGTTCAAATAAATTCTGAACAAAGAGGCACGGGCAAACATGATATTAGCCAAATCATTGGCGTTTCACGCACAGCGTGGAAGCAGACAAAGCTGTCAGATCAAGGGGTATGGGACCACCCGTTTACGCTTGCGCATTCACAAGAACGGGCGAAGTTTGATGTCCTCCGCGCAGCCGTTGCAAGCGCATGATGATGGCACGCTTGAAACGGGTGCGCTGCACGATCAACCAAAACCCCACGCGGCCACAAGAGAAAGGCGGAACACGGTGAGTCCAAAGGGCAAGCGCGTCAAACAAGAGTCTACGGTGGAGGAGGGACAAAAGGGCCAAAAAAGCGCCCTGCAAACTACAAAGCGTGGCGCTCTCCAGCCGCTTACGTTGGCACTGAGGGGCTTTGAAGTGTCGACGGTTTCGTCGTAAACGCTTTGTAAGAGCGACCGACATTCATCGGCACCGTAATGATCGCAACGCTCCAGCGGCATCAGGCCGTTCTCATCTTCCTCCAAAATCTGCAGCCGCAGCAGCCGACGCTTGAAATCCAACAGCCGACGTAGAATCTACACAGTTCCGACCCCAGAAGACATGAGTGGTGGGGTTGCCTCGGCTTGAGCACTGCTCGGCCTGGGTCGGTCGATGCAGCACCTGGCCCATCTACTGACCTCGTGACGATTCTCGCGAATGAGAAGATGTAGCGCAAGGTTGCCATCCAAAGTGGGGACCATGAGCAAGTCGTACTTCACCTGCAACAATCGCTCAATGATCTCATATGAGCTCACCAATATTGCCCACTACAATGGCCGTGCCGTTGTCGCAGGAAAGAACCCAGGTGGTGAGCACAAAAATAGGACGCGCGAAAAAAACCAGCACGGTGGCAAGCACCAAGCAAACAGAAAACGAACGTGAAAAGCTGTGTAGCCACGTTGGTCATATTGCTTAACCAAATTATCAAATTGGGGGTGCTGAGTCAGCTCAAAGACGAGCCAATCCGAGTTCTGCACACGCACGCAGCCATAACCATCCGCCAACATGTGTCAAAAACCTGCGCTGTCCAGCGCACGCAGGCCACAAGCAGTCGCATCGCGCCGCGCACAACAATGAAAGCAAGCATCATACGTGGAGACACGCCAGCGTCAGGATATTCCGCCCGAGTTCGTCCGCCTCAAGAATGCCGCGCGAGCTATGGACAATTTGCAAGGCCTCCACTTCTTCGCCTAAAGCATAACAGGCCAAACAAAACCAACAAACACCAGCACATGAGCCATGGCCGGGTGCCACACTCAACAGACTCTCCGCCAGCCACTGATTTGGCCAGAAATGGAGCCCAAGCCCAACCAAGACACAGCGCCAGGAAGAGAAAGTAGAGCGACCTTGGAGAAAGGCCTGAATGGCGCTCTGGGTATACAGCTGCGTTTCGCGACACTCCAAGTCAGCCTCAAGTGCGTACATGCTCGGCCCTTGACCCGCCGAAGCATTCTAAATTCATTAAAAGGCAAGAAAAGTAGTTTGGTGAGTCAACCATCGTGTCTCCTCCCAACAAACGACTCACGGGTTGCTTGCAAGCTGCTCCAATCAACCTTACCTTCTCCTCCAGGCCACACGTAGAAGCTGAATCGTCAGGATGCAGCTCAGTAAACTTGTCTGACGGGTCCTCACTCGCCAACTGGACGGGCAGGACAAGAAGAACCGATTATCCGAGTGTTAATACCATGAGAGCCAGGCACACGGTAAAACAAACAAGCAAGCAAACAAACACACCAAGATTCGGGCAATGTCGAGAGCCAGCAAGCAAGAACATACGTATAGATACTGAAGTTTGCGACGGCGACGACGACGCGACAATTGGTAGACCACCAGCGCCCCCAGAACAAAGGAGGCCAGGCTACCAGCAAGCGCCCAGGCAAGGACGTGCGAGCTACGATCTGGCACGAGTTCCCCAGCCGTCAATGTAGATGGTGACGCCGTGGGGGCGACACTTGAGGTTGATTCAGTGCTGACCACGGTCGCGGCGGCGGCGGTAGTGGTAATGGTGGTGGTGGGTGTCGGACAGGTGTTGGGGCTCATAACGTTGCATTCACGCGAATATGCGCTATGCCTGCAATATGTGACGACGGTGGTGGTGCATGGGTAGCTAAGCACGGCGGTAAAGTTGAGGAGGCCGACGGCGGTCGGGGTATATGCCTGAAGGAGTTGTGTGGCATTGGCCATGATCAACACAGGTGCCCCTGATTGGTCAACGGTATGGGGAATCATCAGGGTGATGCTTCTTGAGCCGTCTTTGCCGTGCGATATGGCAAGCCAATCGTTGCTGAGGGTCAACAACGCCGATTGCTGCGCGTTATAGATGGACACTGGGGCGAGCACGGATGCGGAAGGGGAAGCAGAGGTCCTGCTGACCGTGGCCACGTAAACCGTCCCATCGATCGTCTGGTAAAGCATCTTGTTTCCACGAGCCACCACATGGGCGGCAGGGCTAACTTCGCCCAAGTCCTGGGGCTCGCCCACCATGATCGTTGTGTTGGCCGCCAGCGCCCAAACAAGGAGACGATAGCCGAATGCGGTGTGGACTATGACAGCGCACAGATCGGGGGACAGGGCCGCATGCTGGGATTGAAAAGATGGCACGCCATTGCTGTAGGGGAGTTCATGACGAATGAGGATTCCATTCGAGTTTGGTCGACCCTGCTCGTCAATCAAGGGCTGGGCAAGGAAGCGCAGGTCCCCTGAATCTGTCTGCACCAGGCCCAAGAGGAAGCCATCTTGGATGGTGGTGAGGTTGGCTGCACGAAAGGGGTCCAGATCGTAGTCATCAAGAGGGGCCATGAAAGCACCGGATTTGTTTTCATTGAGCTGGGTGAGTTGCAGCCCTTGTTCTGCGCTCTCGAGTAACACGAGGTCATGGCGACAGTCCAAGCCGTTGATGCGTTGGACGGTGGGGATGTCGCCTTTGAGGGTAAGGTGTGCTGGAATAAGAGAGCTCGACCCGAGCGCAAGGAGGCGGGTGAGCTCGAGATGACTGCTTTGGTCTTGGTGTGACGAGAGCGTGAGTGCACAAATACCGTCGGCCGAGAGCATGCGAGAGCCGGCAAGGTCTGACACGAGCGCAGAGATTGGGGTGTAGGCAGGGGCAGCGTCGGATTGCGCGGCGGTGGTCGCGTCTGAGGCTGCTGAAGCTGAGGGGGAAATAGCGGTCGAAGACTGTATGGCACCGATGATCTGGAGCATGTAAGCGAGCAGCAACCCACCAACCATGTTATAGAAGTGCGCGTGACCCCTCAAGGATCGGGGTTGCCGGTCCGTCATGGCACCAGGGCCAGGCCTGTCACGGCTGCGAGGCTTGGGCGTGCTTCACAACTGCAGGATGTATGTCTTGGAGTGGAGCACAAGAATCTGTTGCAACGCTAGCAAGGCGTGGCGCCAGCATCGAACTGCGTGCCACAGAGGCCGAGGGGACAACCGGACCCTTTCGTTGCTGCGTCTTGAAGCGATCACAAGGAGAGAGAGCGAGAAAAAAAATAAGAGCTACTTGCTTCGAGCTGGCGGAGACAGCGACCGATATACGGCAGGGCGACAGGGGGCTGGAGGAAGATAATGAAAGGGCAGAGGAACGGCACAGAGGGAGCAGGCGGAAGGGCGGACGAGGACCAGAAGAGGAGGCGGAAGGCGGAGGCGGAGGCGGCGACAATGCGCGCACAGCTGTAAAATGGTTGGGGTCAAGTGTTGGGCCAACGCTTCTTCAGTTGGCTATTCGATCTCATCTCTCTCTGTCTCTGAGTTTGTCTTTAACTTTTCTTCTATCTCTTGTTTCTATATGAATTTCTCTCTATCTTGAAGCCTGTGCTCATCTCTGTCTCTGATTCACTTGCGGTGCAAGTCTCTGTCTCTGAATCGCTTTGTGACTGACGCGTTTTCTACTCATGGGGAGAGGGCGGGCGAGCATAACTGATGATGATGATGACCGAGGTGTGCGCGCACGCGTTGGAATGAAAAGGGGGATGGGAAGGAGAGGAGCGAACGATGGTGTCCTGCAGACCACTCTGCGCAGCACCCTGTTGGGGTGGGGTTGCAGATGTTGAGGGGCTGCCTCTATCGACTTTGCTCATGGCAGTTGGACTTGATTTGTTGACTGCGAAAAGAAGTGGGGCCCCATGTCCATCTGCGCATGACCGCAGACATTGGGTCTGGAGCATGTCGCATCGACCGGCTCAAGCAAGGACCATGATCCAGCCTGCATCAGGCCGGCCAGCCAGCCAGTTGGTCTGTCTCAAAGAAGAAGCGTGTAATGACTCATTGTGTCCCGACACAGGACTGGACTAGCGTCATAACATGCGCTAGCCAAACCTGGGCGACGCTAGCAGCCAGAAGGGCACTGTTGCTTCATGAGATTCGGCCGGCAACTTGCCGGGACGCTTCCTCTTCATTTAAAGTGTGAGGTGGCAACGTCCAGTCGACGGCCGACTTGGGGGTCGCTTCCTTTTGCTTGGAGGCTACTATAGTATACTGGGACAATTCCTACCACGAGCCTCGCAGTTGCGCACCCTTTGGCAGCCAGGGTGTGGGTGAAGGTCTCGAGCTCATACGTATGGACATGCATGAGGGGGTGGGCAGACTGGCAGACGTGGCAGAGGAGAGGCTCGTCTCCATGTCCGCCTTCCATATCTATGTCCCACATCTATCTCGCTGTTGGGACGCAGGTGGTGGCGTGGCCAGTCATGACTAACGTCGAGTGTGTGTGGCGTTGACACCACGCTCCGCGTCCATTGACAATCCCAAGCACCGGTCGGCTGCGGGCACGTGTAGACGCGATCCACACTATCCCATTTCTGATCCATCCATTCATCACCAGCCGTCCTCCCTCGCCGTCCACTCTTTGAAAACCCACCACGATAAACTCGCGGTCTCTTGTCTCTCTGCGTGTGTGTGTGTCTCTCTCTGAGAGTCTCTCTCTCAGTCTCTGTCTCTCTGTCTCTCTCTCTGTCTCTCTCTCAGTATCTCTGTCTCTCCCTCAGTATCTCTGTCTCTCTCTCAGTCAGTATCTCTCTCTTTCTCACTCTCTCTGTCTCTCTCTCTCTCTCTACGTACAGTCACTGGTTTCGTCTTCAGCCTCTCGACGTTCCGTCTCCGTGTTGTTGAGGCACAACAAGGACGTCGGTGATACAATAAGTAGCCATGCTCGCAGCACAAACCATGACTAGGACAACCTTATAGCGCCTTGTGTCTCGCAGTAAATATGCAACAACTATCAAAGTCACCTTCATGTATCTAGATTGTCAGACATTTGCTGTTTGTTTGACCGCGATTTTCAAATTTCGAGCCAAAGTGGTGTCGGCGGCCGACGGGCGGCAGCGGTCCAAGGGCAGGCGTCGTTTGCGCGCGGCATGACAGGGACATGGACTTTCTCAATATTGGTACTGGCGGGCGAGCCCGTAGTGGCCGACGCAGTAGCGCGGATTGGGACGACTCCGTCCTGGGCAGTGCTGCAGCGCCGGTAGCCTCGGCCGACCCGCTCAGCTTTTTGAGGGAACCCTTGAAGAGCCCCGCTGGTCCCAAGCCAAGCAACCCTGTCGTGGAGCCAGCTCGCTCCAAGACCGGCAACACCGCCAAGCGGCCACCCGTCAGTGGGACGCCCCGACATGAGCGCCACGAGCGTCATGCACGTCACCGGGACAGCGAGACGAACAAATCAGCATCCGCCCTCGCCCAACTCAAATCGCGCATGGCCGCCAAGGGATCCGCCAGCGAGACGACGGCGCTGCCCACGGCTGTAACTGCTTCTACAAGTTCCAAGCTCTTGGCCACCTCAGAAGCGAAGCCTGGCGTGCACAGCTCCTCTCCGAGGCCAACCGCCGCAACTTTGTCCAGCGCGGCATCACCCGTGGTTGAGCGACCAGTCTTACGCCTGCATGCCTTAGATGGTGCTCGTGCCACACGTCGAAATTCGGTCGCCTCTGTCCAGGCCTTTTTGGGCCGCTTGCTCGATATCAGTCGTCCCGGTACTTTACTACCCTTGTACTTTAGAGTACCTGTGCGATCATCCCACCTGCTTGATTGCTCTCACTCATGTTCGAATCCACGGTTGTGTTTTTTCCCTTCGGGCGAATTGCAGATGATGCCGTACTGCCTGCTGCGGCTTGGAAAGCACCTTGCCACTCGGCAAAATGGCTCAAAGTGTGTAAAGGGCCTAAAACCATGATCGTGTCTGATCAGCGCGCCTGCGCGCTCAATCGAGCGCTGGTGTTACCCATTCATTTAGGAGCACGGGGCGCGGGCCGTGGCCACCCACGTGCCACTCGGCCCTCGCGACGAGGACGCAGAACTGAGTGATTGGTGTCAGCACTTGGCCCCGGTCATGCAACAGCTCGTTAGCAATCGCATCGACTGGCTCTGCTCATCGAGGTGCGTTTGCTACCCAACGCCTGTGGTCTGGGCTTGGCGCAAGCACATCTCACTGTGGCTTCGCGCTGCAAAACATCAGTCGCCTCAGCTTTGGTGTCATGAGTCCAGGCAAGATCGTCATTGCCATAGATGACCAAGATGCCTCCACCATTTGCCACTTTATCAAGGCTGCTCAGGTATACATCCTTGACTCAAGAATAGTTTTTCGACCTTCTTGCCTTGTGCGCTTGCTGTGGGAAATGGGCAGCCCGGTCAGACGCTGCTCCCGCTTCATCTCTTAATCCTTGCTGCTTGCTCCAAATCAGGCACTGCTGCGCGATCAGCTCAAGCAGACTTTATCAATGGGCTGGATCACGCCCTCGGCAACTGAGCTATCGCCCATTGAGCGCGGCGCCCTGAGTGAAGTGGCGTATGCAAAAGCTCTAAATGACCAACTTCTATCGTTGCATGCCCAATTGGCTACCCATACATGTCCCAGCAACCCGCCCAGTGTGCCTGTGGATGGTCGCTTGGCCATTGATCTGGGGCTTCGTCACGATGCCGCCTCTTTGGTGCGCCCGCGCTCCACGGCTGGCAGCACCGTTGCCAAGGCCTTTTTACAGCTGACCCGCCAGCGTGCCGATGGCTTGGATCTTCCTGAGCTCCTGACCCACGTGCTCACTCGAGCTGTAGATGATGCCTACATCATTTTCACTGGCCCATTGTGGTGAGACTGGCGACCATCTCGGTTCCATACCATTGTCTTTATCGTGGCTGGCTAGCATTGCGGTCGACCTCACTGGCACATGTTCATCTTCCCAGTCATAGTCGGTCACAGCTCCAACCAATCCTTGCCCAGCTGCGGGACCAATACCCAAACACAAGTGTTCATTTTGTGTTGTTTCATCTCACCGATCCAGACGTCATTAATATTGCCCGCGATGCCGCGACGGTGCGTACAGATAGGCCCGCCCAGCACCTGATCCGAGTGTTGCACAATCCCGCAACCGCAATATGCCGTGTCGCGTGGTGCGACAAACTCTGGTGCCGCCTTTGCATCTCAAGTCACGCGCCTCAAAGACCCTTAATCTCGGCTTGCTTTGCTTTTCTGTCCATCTGAACGCACGTAGATCTTCGGCGGCACCGTTCACTGCTGCTCGAGTGCTGGCTCGACCAGCACTGACCTTTTGCTTTTGCAACAAGAACTCAAAGAGGTAGTCAGACGCACGTTCTACTCTTGATCTCTTTTATCCCCAGACTGGATTCTGGTGTTTGGTACCTCTGACAGTCATCCAAATTGTGTCCTAGCTCAAGCGCATGTCTCCCGATTTTGGGGCTGCGTTGCTCGACCTCGCTCGGGCACAAGCGACTAAAGATGCCAAAACGACCTCGCGAAGCAGTACCGCAGCTGGAAAATCCTCCAAAGGGCCGGGGTCACAGCGACCCGTCTCTGCAACCAAGTCCACAGCCCATTCCCCCAAAACCGCATCCAACATCGTCGGCAAGAATACGGCATCCAAGCGGCAACCAAACGTGGGCAAGCAGCATGTAGGAGACGCACCAACGCGCCGCACCCAGTCTGGGCCCACCTCGCAGCCGGCGACGATTCGCAGCAAACCCAGTTCGCGACAAGACCACACCCGGCGCAATGAGATGGTCATGGATACCCTCCGCGAACTAGCCACACTCAAGAAGACCAAAAATGCAGATGGCGCGGCAGGTTAGACATTTCAAACAGGCACCTTCTCCTCCCCTCTCCCACTGCTTGTTTGGCAAAGGTGGCATGTTCATGTGCCCTTGTCAATGCCAGCGCTCACAAAGGCGGTGAAGGCAAGCAAAACGCGGGAGCATTCAGAGCAATGGCTGGAGGTCAGTCCTTTGCTGCTTTCTGGCTATTGTTGTCCTTGCACTGATGCCACGGATTGCAATACCCCCTCTTGCTGGCGTTGTATCCCCATGACAACAGGTTTTCAGCTGGGCTTGCATTGAAGAGGCGACGCAGCAGGCGGCTTCAAGACCAGGACACGAACGCTTCCTCGACAAATCGCTCCACCGTGTTGCACACTCCTTGTACCAGCAACGCCTGTGCTTCTTACGCAGCGAGAGGTTGGTACCCACTTGCCAACCGCACAGGAGGGCCTAGTGCTTGAATCAGAATCGAGAGAGCTCGAGGGATCAACTGCATATATCATGTTATGACAAATCTCCAGTGCCAGCAATATCGCAGCGCTCATGGTTTTGCAACGAGTCGAATCGTTGGGGCTTCTCACGCCATGGCGCATTGCGTAGTCAGTCCGTGTTTGGTGTTATTGCGGGCGACGAGGTGGCACTTGGAATCGATGCCAACTTGTCTGACCGGCGCCTCCTGATCGACGACCTCTCTGTACGGATTCTTTGCAACTGAGGCCTGTTTTAGACCTTGACCCAAGAGATGAATGGGTGCACTCTTCTAATCTTAAACACACGCGTTTTCCGGGGCTCTTGCAGCTGCTTTTGAAGGAGCAATTGAGCGCGACCGCTCGAGTGGACGTGGTGTCGCTTCGGGCCGGCAAGCTATCCGAAGCCAGTCAGCGACACGCTGAACAGCTGGGTGCGACAGAACTTCAAGCGCTGTTCAACTTCTTTCAACAGCTTGATCCCTACGCTCCAAGCCCACAATCTCGGCACGAGCGCCAAGGGTTGCTGGCCAAGCTTTCTGACACGTGGTCACGTCTCAGCGCGCTGCTGACGGGTCATGGTCACGAGACTCCACGCCACGATTCGACGGCAAACTTGGAGGTCGTGGATGAAAACGGCTTGGACGTGCTGATGTTACTTGAAGCCCTCCTGCGTACTCCTGTCACCCACAACTATCTCATTCTTACTAGTCCCCTCAAGTATGCCTCGATACTGCGGCTTTGCGGGCAAAATCTGGCGCGCGTGGCTCTGGCTCACGCAAAGTCCATGCTTCTTTCCTCACGCCTTGTTCGTCATCTGGGCTTGTGTAAACCTTTTGCCATGCAACTCCCATCTCGCACTTCGCTCGGCGCCCCATCGTGAACACCCCGCGCGCAGACATTTGGTTCATGGCCTGCGTAGTCGTGTGCGCGCATTGCATGCGCGCTTCGCTACGCAGCGAGTACACGTGGTCGTGTACAATCTACGGGACGACAATGCCTTGGCTCTGGCGTCTTTTGTGGCCGAGGTACGATTCTTCGAGTGACTGGTTTAGCCTCGTGCTGATGGTTTACGGCTTGCCACCCTCACTTGCCTACTGATGGCCATCGCCACGATGCCACGTTTGCCCGGTTCATTCAATCAGACCTTTAGAGGCACGATTCATGTGTGCCATCCCTTGGGTTGTGCCAGCACAGACTGTGACTTGATTGAAGAAGAGTTGGATCATGTGAAAGCGGCCGTCCGTCGTGCAGCCGCGGCGGCAAAAGAGGCGGCAGAAGAGCGGCGTCAGCGGGTCAAGCAACGTACCGCAAGGCGACGCGGCAGCGCCGTTGATGCTGCTTCTGAAGGTACCGCTGCCAGTGGTCATGCTCAGATCAAACTTGAGTACATGTCGCTGTTGTTCACCTCGCTGTTGTGGCGTGAACGGCGAATGTGGCTTGCTAGCCGGATCACTTGACAAGTCGGAGCGGTCTGGCCGGCGTGAATGGAAAGACCCTGCACCTCGCCGCCAACTGCTGCCGTGGCAGCAAGGGGCTGATGCATATCGTGCTGCCTTACGAGAGACAATGCGGTCTGTCAAACTAAAGTTTGCGGTTGTACTACCTGATGCCATTGCTGGGTGCTCATCTGCCTGGGAGTGTGCCTCGCCTTTCTGTAGGCATACCAAACCTGTGGCTCACCACAACATTCCGTTTGACGCACGCGCGTCGTCCAAGGACTGGTTGGATAGCTTTGGCCTCTTTGCCTTGGGCCTGACGCCGTGGCAGGTGTGATATTTGTGGCTGGCTTGTTGACAATGTGTCCCGACTTGATTTACCTTATAGAGTGGTGATACTGTGGCCCTTAGGTGTTTCGGCCCTACGCGCAACGAGCTGATCGCCATGGTCAGCTGCTGGGCGCAACATACAAAACGACAGTGCCGGTGCGTTTGTTAAGCTTCGTCCATGGTCTTGCGGCCACTTTCTAATGTAGCACCTCCTCTCGACATGTGCTTGCCTCCAGTTGCAATGGTCAGATGGTGGCCAGCGGTTGGTCAGTGTTGATCCCGCAGTCTTTGCCAACTATTATCAGCAGCTGCTCAAAGTCGAAGCGGCCTTCCAACACCGCCTTGATTGGCTCGGCACAGGTCAGTGTTACATCGTGCCCTGCACGTCTTCTTCTTCGTCCCATCGCTTTCTCCGTGCCATACTTTGCACGCCGCCGTTGATTTGGTCAATGCTATGCGCTTAGGATCGCGGCGGTGCTTTGGTTGCGTCTGGGAGCCCGTGGTGACGCTGGTCATTGAGGCCAGTGTGTCTACCAAACCCACATGGCCCCTCTTGCTACGCCATTGCAAGCGTGTCATCACCGAGCAGGTCGGACCTCCCAAAGCTTTACTCTTCCTTGCGCCTTGGTATGGCTGAGATTTTGATGCTCAAAAACAATAGCCTGTCTCATTCGTCTGCGTGGCTCGCGGTGACGGCAGTTGGCACACACAACCCACTTTAACGTGATTCTTTATCACGGCTGCATGCATGCGTTCAGCCCCCATGTGATCCCGACAAGCGGTGGTGCGCTGAAGGAGTGCTGGCAATGGCTCAAGGCGTGGAGCATCGCGGAAACGGTATGAACGTGAATCGCGAGTGAGACCCGACTCGAGGTCAACTAGCCAACCTCTCCAACTGGGCAGCTTTGCCCCACTTCTTGCTTGGGCTTTGTTCGTCGGGCTTTGCCCCACCTCAACCTCACTCTTCTACGTTGCTACTGTTTTTGCTGTCACTCCGACGACTGCTCTTTGTCGTGGGCCGGTAGCACACCGGCCGTTGTGTGCGAGAAGTCTTGCTGTCAGCAGTGGACAACTTGGAGCCTCAGGTCCATGGCGATCATGGTATGCTTCCCCAAATACGGTTGCATTTCTGTTGACGTAGCTGTTCTTTTTTTCTAGTCAAGCGCGATAAGCGTGCTCACGGGTGTCGATTGCTTGTCCTGTACTATTTGCAAAGGCATTTATCTGCTGCAAACGGGTGTCTGTGCCGACGCGGAGAACGTCATCTCTGAAGCTCGGTACGTTGTCATGAACGCCATGCTTGTGATAGGCAGCAAACACAATCGTGCTTTGTGCGCGCCGCTCACGTGTCACACGCCTGCTTGCATTTCAGAGCTCTGCTTCAGGAGGCGCGAACACGCATCCACACAATTTCCTACAATAGCCACGGCGCGCTTCCAGTGCGACAGTTTCTCCAGCAGTTAGCTGGTGCCACGAGAGGTCCGAAGCTCTCCTGCCAGTCTACCGAGCGTGCGCATTCGTGGACCTTACATGATGACATGGCTACGCAGGACGCTATCATCTTGTGCTAGAGGAAGGGCGCGCATTGGACCTGGTCCACAGTGCAGATGCCAGCTGGACCGCTCACCCGTTTGTAGGTTTACTCAGCTGGCATCGGCTCTGTCAAATTGTTTCATACTCTCATATCTCTTGTGTCAATCTGCGCCTCGGACTAGGATCGTATCCCCGCTTCCCAATTGGAAGCAGCCAAGAATGATCGTGAGGGCAGTGCGGACTTCAAGACCAGTGCCGGCGAAACCGAGGACGCAATGCTGCGCGAGTTGAACCGCGAGCTGGAGATTTTCAGCGCCTGGATGCATGTGCGCTACAGTGCCGAGCAACAGCGCCAGCTCGTTCGTGGTGAGTGTTCTCAGCTCTGCTTGCCACGTATTTTTGCTAGCTCGAGCCATCACGCGACAGTCCTATGTTGGTCAGCTGGCCATGTCTTTCACTCATTCTCTCAATCATGCCACACACGGGTGCTACATTTCGGTAGATCTTCTCCATGATCCATCTGCGAGTGCCGTGTTTCAGAACGCTGATGACGCGCCCGATCCGATTTGTCTTTGCCACGGCGATGATATTTATCAGTTGCGAGTCGAGGTTTGTTCTGCCAAAGCCAACAACGAAGCCCCACCGGCCAGTGCGCCTTGCACACGGTCGTGTCCGCAAACTTGCGAGCGTTACTCAATGCCGGCGTTGTTGTGCTTGCCACTTGTACCCCCTTAGCTCCTTCGATCCTCGCAGTACCGTGGCATGGTCTTGTCCATGCTGTTTGCCATGCATTGTGACATGGCTACGAAGACTCGAGCGTTGTTCCAAGAGCGCAGGCTGTTTTTACCACCCGACTTGGAGGACGCCCTGGCTGAAAAGCAGCGTGCCTTTGAGGAGGCTGACTGGCGAGGTTCTGATGCCAGCCACGACGAAAGCGAAACGGAGAGTTTTGACGGTCAAAGTGTGGGGGGCGATGGCCGCACCCGCCCTGGCGAGCTGCCCGCCTATTTGCAACGGCGCAAAGCCGAGCTGGCTCGCGCTAAAAGTCAGCATGCACGCAGTCAACGGCGGCTGCGCGGCCTGCCCACGACGGACCCAGGCACTGGCAAGCAAAACCGGCGCTCAAGCCAGTCAAGCAAAGCGCGCCGCCCCGGTCCACCTCCACCTCCTTTGCCCGTCGACGTGAACGTGGACGATCAGACATGGCTCGAAACCAACGGCACACGCATTCAGCAGCTCTCGGTTGAGCAGTTTCTGGCCACCAACAGCGTTTTGCGACCTGCAGACGAGTCATATTCAGGTGTGGGCACCATGTATTTGACGCGGTGGCCCAGTAAGCGGCGCAGTCGGCGGGGGGGTCAGCTGCTGGAGTGGCGAGTCATGGCGCGTCCCCATGAAGTGGCCCAGCATCAAGCTCGCTTAGCAGACTTGATTACGCTCTATGAACAGCGTAGGCTCTGGCGTGAGGCGCACCCCGAGGCAGGGTACAATGCGTACGATGGCCAAGAGGAGGACATGAGTGGTACAGAGATTGCGGCCGAGGAGCGAGCAGCTGCCGATGCAGAACGATTGGCTCGGGAGCTATCGCGGGCGCGCCACTATGTATCGGATGCTCAGCAGCTAGCCGATGCTGTATCCGCGGCCATCGAGAGTCTGCCTCGTGCGGAGCGCTCCGCTCGGCCTGACCCACGCACGCTACAGCCACGATGGAATGAGGGGGGCAGTTCTATGCGCCGAACTCATAAGCGCCGAGGCTCACGAGCAGATGCGTCTTTGGCCATGGTAGAGTCTGTCGCACTTGCACCTGAAGCTTCGGAGCGTGAACACGTGGCAGCGCCCCCCATATCAGCGCCGCCCACCCGGGCCCACTTGTTGCGGCAGCGTTTTAATGCGTGGCGATACCCGGAGCAATTCCAGTCAGCCGACACGCCAGCAGATATTTTAATTTTGGATGAGGCAACGGCAGAAGCAGAAGGCGAAGAAGATGTTATTGCAGCGTCTGGTGCTGGGGGTAGGGCGCTTGTGGTCGATGGCGCACAGGCCGCGCCGCTCGTGGTCGACTACGTGAATCCTTCACGGGGTGAAGTGGCACCGTCGCGAGCGGACGAACTGGATCAGCCAGCATTGGAAGCAGCCAGACTGCCGCCGCATGGCCGTGGTCCGTTGGAGCAGTCATCTCGAGCCGCCCAGACTCTACCTCGTCAAGCAAAGCCCATCGGTGTCCGAGTGAGCTCGCCCACGGAAACGAGTGGGCAAGGCCATCTGGATGCCAGCTTGAGCGAGGACGACGTGGATTGGGATGCAGTCATTTTGTCGCGGCATGCCAACGTGCGGCGGGTGGCTGCGGCACTTGATGACCTGGAGCAGGTCGAGTCACGCCTAAGGCAGCAGGCCATGCGTCCTCGAACAGCTGGTGCAGCTTCGGCCGTGCAACCTCTACCAGATGCGACAGCGGCAGCACGTCGAAAGGGCCATGAAGCAACATCGATCCGGCCCTTTCCCGGCTGGCGCAAGTCCAAGGCTGACTCCCGTGTAGGTGCCTCGCGGAAAGACGAGGGCGTGCTCCAGCGAGCACCCGCTGCGCACGTGATGAGCGTAAGTTCTACACAAGCAATCTGCCAATCTACGTTGTGTCTTGCATGGGAGGCCTGCCTCTGGAGGGGTCGATGAGACAAGGCATTTGTTTCTGATGATTGTTGTGGTTTTGGTTGTATGCTGCAGGCAACGGGCTTGCCCGGACCCAGTTTACGCAGTGAGCCACAGGCGCCACCCACGTTTGCTCATCCTGAGCACACGGTGTTTGTGACGGTTCGTCGCGGGCAGTACTAAATACGACCGCTCTTCGGGTTGCGTCTCACCTTGTACGCGCCATGCGCTGACGATGATGCCCTTTCTTGCGCTGCGAGTGCACAGGGTGTTGCAGACACCGCAGAGGACTGGGATCTTTTCAACTTTTTTGTCACCCGCCAAAGTGCCCATCCGGTTCGTGGCCCCGCTTGAATGCGATCACAAGCTGTTGTTGCAGTAGCAGCAACTGCGCTGACAAGCTTCTTACCCCGAGGTGTGTGTGAATGTGTGTGTGTGGCAGGCGCACGTCTATTTGCCCTGGGACTTTGATCGTAAGCGGAATGCAGGCTATGCCTACGTGGCCTTTGGCTCGGCAGATGAGGTCCAGCGTGCTTTACAGGCGGACGGCCTCATTCTCCAGGTGAGCACAACTGTCCCGGTGGTCGGTGTGGCCCGTGATGAGATGGTGTCGCATCTCATCTTCTTTCTGGCGTCGATGGGTGCGTTTCACTGTGTCAGGGCCAGACGGTGCGGGTGAAACCCTGTGCGGCTCCCCAGGACACGATCAAAGATCAGGAGGCTTTGCAGGATATGGACATTATGAGCGTTATGAGCATGCCACTGAGCCAGGATTTCTCAGCCGCTGGGCTGTGAGCGAGGTGCCATGTGACCACCCCCAACATCGTGCTGACATGCGCGCTGGACGATTTAGGCCAATGATCTCAGGCAGATGTAAGTAGAAAAGACGGAAGTAGAAAGGACCATAACGTAAAATTGAAGATCTGAATTTTTTTCGGCAACGGATTTTTTAATGTTTGTCCAAGAACGATAAACATGATGAAGAAACTCAGCGGCGGCCACAGGGGCGTGCGGTGAACAGCCCCGTGCTAGCCATGAGAGTTGTCAGGATGCAAAGAGCACGACTACCGTGCATGCCCAGCGGGAAGGGTGCAGGCTGGATAATGAAGGCATTTACGCCTTGGAGCCCGTGCTGAAGAGGGCCACCAGGATGGAGGTGGAAGTGACGGAGAGGCCATAGTTCCACTGGCCGCTGAGGCTGCGGAAGACGTAAAAGGAGAACACCACCAGGAGGAAAGCAAAGAGGGCATTGTTATAGGAGAGGGAGAGGAAGCAGGATTCCTTCTCCGAGAGCTCACTCTGCTTCTCCACAACGAGTGAGTCGAGGTGGACACCCTCCTTCTGCTTCTTGTCCATGGACTTGTAGTTTTCAGTGACCATCGCGCGGACCTCCTCACTGTGCTTGGCCGCAAGTCTGCCATGGCGCCAAGCAAGAAATCAACAGGGTGAGTTGGGATTTGGGTGTGCAACAGAAGGGGGGTTGACACAACATCAAAGTGCCGTGCGACTGAGCCGGTGCGCACCCGTCACGAATCTTGCGCGAGGTGTTCTGGTAGGCAAAGAAGAGCGCAGCGGCCGCCACGGCAGCAAATGCAACAAAGACGATAATGTTGTCAACAGGGTTCATGACCATGACCGTGCTGAAAAGCACTGATAGCAGACGAGCAAGGTGGGCCCAAGAGCAAAGCAGGCACCGGATCATCGTGAGAACATGATGGTAGCAACAACGTAACCGCCATTGGACAAGCGCTGGGAAAGGCTTGGAGAAAGAGGGAGAGAGAGAGAGAGCGCGCGGGCCAGTGGCTCGTGACCAGTGGGCGGATCCACCAACTCAGGCTTCTTGGCTAAACACGTACGGGCAGGAAGAGTGCTGGAGATGGCAGCCCAGGTCATGTACACGGCAGAGGGGGTCGTGTACTTCTGGGTGTTCATGAGCTCAAGCTCCTCCTGGGTGAACATAGACTTGCCCTTGCGACCCATGATGCTGGTTTGATCTTCAACACACAAAAAAAAAAAAAAAAAAAAAGAGAGAGAAACACTGCACTGCCACACGAGAAGAGGCAGGGTGATCCGGTGAGAGATCGAGGATGGCATGGAATATGATGGCTATTGCCAGTCCCACAGACGAAGATGCCAGCCTTTCCAGTAAACCTGTCTAGTGCCCTGGTCTTTTTAACCAAGAGATAGGAGCGCTGACAGTGGCTGCCGTTTGAGGTCACCGAGCCTCCAGCTTTGCGTACCGTTTAAAAGAAATGAGAGAGAAGAGAGAGAGAGAGACAGAGAGGGAGAGAGAGAGAGAGAGAGAGAGAGAGAGAGAGAGAAGAGAGAAGAGAGAAGAGAGAAGAGAGAGAGTCTTTTGTGTTGTGGTGTCGTCGTGGCAGAGCACTGGAATACTTTACATACATACAGATGGACCCCCAGAGATGTGACCCCCAGGTTTCAGAGTGAGAACGCAGTGAAGAATACCAAGTTTTGATTCTAGAGCGGAGACACTTTTTCACCTGTTCATCGAGACAACTTCGGTCACGTACCAAGTGTCATCCCTTATGGTTTGACCGTTGAGATTCGTTCTTCCGTTACAATTTCCGTTGCATTTTCCTTCTCCTCAACGGTGAGTCCCCACCCTTCCTCATTCCTCGCATGCGCTGCCATTTATTGATGCGTGAACCATCTCACCTTGCCTTTCTTTTCTTTGCGTGCAGCCATTATGGCGACTCCTTCTCCGGTGTCTTGTGCAATCTGCAACATGCTTGTCTCGGATTCCAATGAGCAACGCCATGTTCAAACGCACCATTCCACTCCACCCGATCTCCGCCGCCCTTCCGAGTGCTTTCCTTCTCTGAACTGGATTGACTGTCCTGCGCCAGGATGTGTGTGCTCAATGCGCAAGGGCGATCCGCTGATGGCGCACTACATTGAAAGCCATCCTGTACATGCCAACGAAAATTTGACCACCTTTTTTCCCAGCGCTGTTTGCTGCGACTGCGGCCACTGGTCCTTTAATCGCGTCTGCGCCAAAAGGCATCGCTCTATGAAGCATCGTGATGCAATAACGCATCCCCCCAAGGTCAGCTCCCGCGTCTTCGTGCTCGGACATGCACTACGCACAGTGCAATTGATCCTTTGGCAGGCCTGCCTCATGGAACAAATCCCGAACAAGTGCCTCTCAATCTTATTTTCTTTTTTTTTTATCGTGCCCGTAGAAGAGACTGTCGTGCACTCATTGCAGCAGGATGTTCGCTACTACAAGTGGCCTTCGCTCTC